ATTATACATATGTCAATTTAACACAAACTGTGATTCCTGACGGTATTCAAGCGTTAAATTCTTGTGTTAATTTTTTACATATTATGCGTGTTAGTTTTTACCACATTTGTTTTGTGATTTATGTGTCGCGATATGAAATTTATGTGTAAATTTACACATAAATAAGAGTGGATGATTTGGGATACATGAAATGTTAAATTTAATCAATTTTTACAGTGTATCTATATATATGTAGAAATCTGTTTACAAACTTTTTCGATATTCTTAAGCTTCCAAATGCAGATACGAAGGTAGAGCAATGTTCTCTAAAATTGTTCTGTTTGGAGCATCCACATTTTCGATATATACAAGCTGCGGAACTTTTGGATTGGACAAATGTTACGCTAACTGACAGCTTGAGGATTTACATTAAAAATGTTTTCTTCGTTTTCGTCACATATCGAGCAATGCTGCTATTTATTTTTGCACGTGCTTTCATTGCGTAAAAGCATTCTGTGCAACCAACACGACGTAAACCTTGTAAAAAACGTCAGTGTTCTGTCGGTAAAGTTTTCAGCTTCAGCATCCTCTTCAGAATTCGAATTATTTCGCATCAGTAGTCGGTGATCGTATACAACGTCGTAACGTTGCAGCCAGAGTCACCTGTTTACGATTTGCAAGTCTCCGACAAGCGAGACTGAATCGTGCACGCGGAAAAGTGCGCGCTGCGCTCGAGGGAATGTTACTCGCTTCAAGTATTTCATAAGTTTGCGCGCTCGCAAATCTATCGCGAATGTGCACGTGAGTATTTTCGGCGACGTAGCAGCTGTACCGCGACCGAGTCCGCACTTCGTCCTGAGCACCGACACCTGCACTGGCGATTGGCGCGTACTTACGTCCACCTACGGTGCTCCGCGAGCCGAGAGCGAAATACGCTTTACATTTGCGAAGGTAGCCCGCAACGGACGAAGGAGCGATATCGACCAACGGGGACGAGGGAACGACCAGGTGGACGGATGAAAAGGAAACACTCGTCGTCCTCGCAAGTACGGGGGGAGAGGGACCTCACGCGAGCGCGGCTGCACCCTCGCACCCCTTGTCGCTTATCGATCGTATCGCGAAAACCGCGAGGGTGACCGTTGCCGGATCGCCGACGGTCACGATAGGAGGAGACCAGCGGGGGATGCGGCGTGCCGACGTGAACGTCGCGGAGCGTCTACGCGAGAAAGGGTCAAACGTTCACCGGACGACGAACGAATCGGTCAGACTCGATGGAAGTTCAGTCGACAGATGAACAGTAGTCACTGTGTGACGAGAAACAGAGAGAAGAAAGAAAGGAGGAACAAAAGAAAGAAAGGAGGAAACTGAGTGACACGCGAAGAAGAAAGAGACCGGGAAAACTGGGGAAAGGTGATGGCGGGAGAAAAAGAGCGGACATAGTATACATGGACTCCGAATGTCGTATGTTCTGTCGTTTAACATAGTGAAGCTAACATCTAGAGAGAGAGAGAGCGAGAATAGAGGAGCTATAGTTTTCTTCCAATTTTGTTGCGCGTGCATCCATTTCTCGTTTCCACAATATTATAGAGCGCAACAACACCCCGACTAGACTGGCAAGTAAAAGTTTAATACTTAAATCTTATTGCACACTGAGAAAAAAATTTATGGTATTTGGAACTATAACGGCATAGTAAAAAGATTATAGTTAGAAATATCATTTTTATAGTAAATGTCACCATAATGTTTGTAATATTTATAATATAAGCATAGTATAACTGACCCATGTAAAAGTTTTAC